AATTTCAAGACAGTAAAACCATCGCAGGCCTGTGTAATTAATATTTAAAGTAGCTGATATAATATAGTATCTACTCATCAAATTGGCTAGAAATATTCTGTTTGTAGTGAATATTATACTATAGAACATGTAACAATTTCAAGACAGTAAAACCATCGCAGGCCTGTGTTATTAATATTTAAAGCAGCTGATATAATAGAGTATCTACTAATCAAATTGGCTAGAAATATTTTGTTTGTAGTGAATATTATACTATAGAACATGTAACAATTTCAAGACAGTAAAACCATCGCAGGCCTGTGTTATTAATATTTAAAACAGCTGATATAATAGAGTATCTACTCATCAAATTGGCTAGAAATATTCTGTTTGTAGTGAATATTTCTTCACACTACATTTATCATCAACTCTTTTTCTTTTTTTAGAGCTGTAAAATATTTTTTCAAACTTAACTTTTCACATTGACTGGTGGTGTTGACACCTCGTTTTTGAAATGATAATTTTCTTGTTATTGCTGCGTAGTAACCTACAAATATACATTGGTGTCTTAAAGTTTAATATTACGTTCTATAATACTTTCATTTTGTTCATTTTAATTATTACAATTTGCTTTTATTTAGTTGAATCTTCTGTTGGGTAAACTGACTTTGATATTTGTACATTTTAAATACAACGCAGTTCAAGCCATATTTTTGAAAATATAATTGTAATTTCAGCCTTTGATATTTTTCTTCCCGAATCTTTCTGATGTAGGAACATATTCATAAGCTTACAGAACGAGCCGTGGCCTACATTAACGTGGACAGTTGTTCTGGAGGTTAGTACATTAGCTTTGTCAGTTTATATGTATTATTCATGAAATACATATTTTGTGTGTAAGGAGAGGCTAAGCCAATGGGGCATGGCCCACTCTGAAAAACTCTAGGCGTATTTATCACACATTATTTTTCAGCTTTTGTATAATTTAGTAAAAAATAAAATAAAACAATTATAAACACTATTGCATTTGATATGATTTGTTTTAATGACCATTTTATTAAAAAATTAGATCAATTTCAGCTTTTTAATTTATTGCCCCCTTAAAATTTTTCTTCCCCCCTCTCAAGTGGAAAACCTGCACTGTGTGTAAGTATTACATGTTCATATGTGCACGTTGTAAAAGTACATATTTGTTTTCCTTGTAGCGTTGTGCGCATCACACAACATCCTCTGATCATATTTATTTCATACTGATGTATTAGTTGATCGCCCCCCCCCAGTAGCACAGCGGTATGTCTGCAGACGTACAACGCTAGAATCCGGGTTTCGATACCCGTGGTGGACAGAACACAGGTAGCCCATTGTGTAGCTTTGTGCTTAATTATAAACAAACAACTAGTTGATCACGTTAGTTTTGGAATTTCTGTGTTAGTTTTTTATTATATCCTGCTTGTGTTTATTTCATTTTTAAAAAAGCACAAAACTACACAATGAGCTTCTGTGAGCTGCTCACTACGTATCGAAACCCGGTTTTTAGCGTTTCAAGTCTACAGGCTAACCGCTGTGCTACCGAGGACCCTCTTGTTTGTGATCATCTGGAGCAGTGTTTCTCCAAGAACCTATATCGGTTGTTTTCCTGAACACTTTAGGCCTCTTTCAATGGTTTCTATATCGTTATTTTGTGTTAAAGCTTAGTTATTCTTACTTTGTTGATATCCATTTTTATTCTTGACTGAATTTGGGAAACGATTTAGAATTACTTAGTTAAAGATAATATAATGCCGACTAAAGAACACTCAAACTAAACTTGTACTCGTCTTGTGGCTGCCGACTAAAGAACACTCAAACTAAGCTTGTACTCGTCCTGAGGCTGCCGACAAAAGAACACTCAAACTAAGCTTGTACACGTCTTGTGGCTGCCGACTAAAGAACACTCAAACTAAGCTTGTACACGTGTTGAGGCTGCCGACTAAAGAACACTCAAACTAAGCTTGTACACGTTAATTATTTATATATTAGAAAATGTAGATAGTTTTTTCTTTAACTTTTACTTTTGTTGCTCAGCGATATGTTTGAGAGTTTATAACACTAAAATTCAAGATTTGATACCCACGGGGTGGGAGAACATTGTGTGATTTTGCGGTTAAACAGAAACTTATTGTAACTTGTAACCTATTGCGATTAAAAAAAATTTAAATACAAATCTTAAATTCTTTGTTTTGCTCAAAGTAATCCGTGAGATATAAAGTTGCTGATTTACTAAAATAAAAACATCAAAAATACAATCCGATTATTTAAATAGGTTAATATTTCTGTTATCTTTCAATCAGGTTCATGGCTTCGGCTGCAAGCAAGCCCTAAGCTGGCGAATTTGCTTAGAAGCACATCAAAAATGGTGAGTTTATTGGTGCAATTGGTTTAAAAAACAAGTTTATAGTCCCGTGATTGGAAGAAAACGTGCGAATATGTATTTAATTCTAAACGAAATTAGAAAACAAACTTTTCTAGGCTGTGATAATAACCAGCACGAAGTTAAACCTATCAATATTTGAATATGTAATTAGATGATTTAAAACTCCGAATTATGTTTTTCATATTCGACAAAGTGCGCGTGTTCCATCGCTCTTGAAAGATTTGATGGAAAACGAATCGCATTTTTCGACATGAAATTAAAAACTCAAGCGAACATTCAACTTACTAATTTGACTTGCTAATACAAAACAACAAATCGAACAAACTGAAAGGTGGCTACTAAAGATTATTTCAGCTTAATTTCTACGAGAATCGTAACTCTCTCAAATTTATGGGATTTTTTTCTAGTTTTTTCTTAATGTGTGAATATAACGTGTGAATTTGTAGATTTCGATTTTTTTTTCTACACATAGGAATTCTAATCTGCGTTTTAAAGTTGAAATAAGACGTTGGTAACACAAACGTATCATGTTTGTGTCCTTACATGCGCATGCCTTAATTTATTCATTAAGCTTTCTGCAACTAAGAAGGTGCCTTTAAAATATGATTACAGTGTTTTCCGGAGAAGAGAAAAATTTAATTGGCTAACT